GCGGTGGGGCAAATCCATTTTATCTGCATCATATCAGATCATAAGAAACTTCATATGATAGCATCTAAGACTTGTCAAAAATATATTAGCTGAAGATGAGAATGTTTGTGTAGAATCATCAAGCCAGACAAGCTCCAAAACAAGTCAAGGCATGAAAATTCTTACGTTTGGCAGTGGAAGGGATTCCAGCAGTTGAGATGAACTGCAAAGAAACAAAGCTCAAAATCAGAATCTCAGGCTACTTGTAAATCTTCTGCCATTTACCAAGCGCTTGAAAAGATCATCACTATTCCAAAAGAAGAAGAAGAAGCAATTTTAGCTTTTCTGAATGTTTTATATGAGACGTTACAAGGATCTATTTCTAAAGAAGACAGCTAGCATGAAACCACAAGTGTACTGGTTAAAGTTGTCCAGCATAACTAAACCATACACTAAAATGTTCAAATTCAATCTGTTTTTTGTGATCACAGTAAATTAATAGCATACTTCTGGAACGTAAATGTTGCTGAGGTTCTTCAGCAAAAAAGTCATGCCTAGTTTCTCAGTGGGGCAGAGAAGCATATGAGCAAGTGGTCCCCAACTGAGAACTTAGTGCATGCTCCTAGAAGTCGAACATCCAGCAATTAAAATCATATTATACCAGTTCACAATATATTCCACAACTTTGTCCTACAGGATTTGTTCCATCTAGAATCTGAGCAGGAAGAGACAAATCATTAAGCATAAGGAAGCCCAAGTTTGGAACGACTTGTCAAAAAATTTTCAGAGTCACAAAAGTTTTATCATCCATGTACGAGTGATGTACTTGATTCAAAGAAAGAGGCAATACACAACAAGAACAAGAATATAATCAACTTTTTTATTGGAATAAAAGAAGTGAGTTCTAGATGTAGAGCATAAATTTATTTTCATCTCTAACCGAATATTACTAATTGAATTTACTTATCTCAAAGCTATCAACTTCTTGATCCCTCACATACCATGGTGAACATGAATACGAAGGATAACAAATTAAAGAAACAAAATACAACAAAAACAAATGATTGAGAAATAAATAGACCCCGAGGAGTACAGGAACGTCAATAAACAACGTTAAGGAGAATGAGTGACTAATAGTCATGGCAACGTGAGGAAGGCATATAACAAAAGTGAAGACATAGTTCCATACCTCAAACCATTATCACCAAGACCATGCAGCCAAACAATAGTAGCTTGGTGTTTTCCTTTGGGCCTCACCACATGTGTCTTCCCAAACTCAAAACTTCTTCCAGCAGTTCTACTACCTGCAATTTTCAAGCCAGAAAAGCTAAAACTCAATTACATGTGTGAATTTTAAAGATAGCTTGTACAGTTTAAGAAGATCCGCCGTGCGGCTCACAAAAACAGAGGAAAAGATTGTATAACACAGGACATAGCACAAACAGGTAGAAGACAGTGAAGTATAGAACCAACCAGAGCCCATTTGAGAATGTGCATAGCTCATTTTCCCTGTTGCGAAGTGTTGGAACTTGGAAGCACTCCACCTAGTTATTGCAATATTGCAATGAAGAAGATGCAGAATGGTGATGTCCCTTTATACAGAACGTGTGAATAAGGAAGCTGTGTGTATGAATAGCGTGTATGGATACTGCACCTAAAAACCGCCTAGAAGAGCATCTGTGAAAAGGAAAGGTAAGGATAGAGACAAAAGCAGAAAGCCTTTTTGAGGGAATCCTAGCAGAGAAGAGCACATTCATCCGCTCACAAGCTTCCCAGCTAGGAGAGAGGTCTCCCCCCCCTCCTCTCTCTCAGACACACACACACACACACACACACACACAGGAATCTATGCTGAGGGCAGTGGCCAGAACATAAAGCAAACCCCAGAAACAGCAACCGAAGAATATTACTGAAAACAAGAAAGAATAACCTCAGTTTGCGATAAATGAAAATATTTATGCATATATATATATTTTCCTACAATCATTTGTTTATAATTTCTGCATGATTGATGGATGCCCATTAGCCTCAGACATAAAAAAGAAAAAAGTTTTATAGGACAAAAGGGAAAACCAGAGCAAAATAAATTAAACTTGTGATTGTTTGGAAAGCGAAAGTATGCTTCTTCTAGGAATTTCCTCCTTATTTCTCTACTTTGATGGATGATAAGTTGATAACAATTAAGCTCTCAGTAACCTGGATTTCCAATTTAGAATTGACAAGAAGAAAGCGTGTGAGCTTTTCACTCTAACTTTCCTCTCTCTTGCTTTCTTGCTTGCCACTTAGCTCATTGCTCAAACCCCACTATGTGAAAAGTTTTGTTTGTTCATACTCGTGAGAAACTTCATATAAGTACAAATGCTAGACCTCTCCTCCTAAGCATAGGGACAAGAAAAAAAGGAAAAACCTTTTAAAGTTTAAACCCAATGCTTGTGAAACATAACGGCTAAATATTATTATTATTTTCCATATTTTGGAATCTTTTTAAGCATAACCAAAGTCCAATATTTATCAAATCAGCATTGTAATTTATTAGCAGATAGCTGCACACCTTTTCTGGTGTGTGCTAGATATAGCTTTAGTGGACTCCAACTTGAATATATCCCACTGCCCATCTTCTCTTTATTTGATTTATAATAAAATTTCCCTATTTTAGAGTCCCCAAGTTGTGCAGACATTCGCAGCTTTGATTCTCACAGTATAATAGCCATTCTCTAATTTTTATGATAAAAGTGAAAAGGCCTACATCCCACGTAGCAGCCTCAACAAGATAAAATTCAAAAGAGGGAAAAAAACAGTTTCAGATAATTCAGAATCACTGAAATAAAGGGAATGAGTCCATCTGTACATCAGCTGAACCATTTATTGCAGATTGCTTGGAAACTTCAAAATGGTTTCACGAGTTTATCTGTTTTCTCTTCTTATGGATGATGACTTATATATGTGTATGTATGTATGTAGTTTTGATGGTCCCCCCCCTGTTAAGTGGTTCAGTGAATGATCATATTTAGACTAGAACATGAGAAAGGTCCCATTTGAAGTAAAGTAAATAACTTTGATTCTCAATTATTATTTACTTTCTTCTGATTATTCTCGCAAATGATATGCTTTAATAATGCTGTGTTTGAAACCTTAAAAAGCATTGCCATGATTATTGTAATAGGTCCTATTTGGAAACCAGAGAAAAGCATGATGTTTTGAAGCTTTTGATGATTAGATGAAATCTTAATATTACAAACTCATTGATATCGAAACATAGATTAATGTGAGATTAACAATAAATAAATGGGAAAGTTGAAAAAGGATGGTTCTTTTAAGAGTAAAGATTTTTGGGAGATTTCAAGATCTTAGGAAGGAGATCTTCTTGCATTAAAAGATGTAAGAATTTAGGGTTTAGTTTTATAATAAGACAGACAGTGCTATAGGAAGCAAAACAAAAGCAGCATGGACATTATTATTATCCGGTTGACTTAAACTTGAGACATGTGGGTGACTTGGCGAGTTTTGATTGGTTGACTAGTTAATAGTGATTAAGCATCTAATTAAGGTCCGAAAATTAAGGAGAAGTTAGGGAAACTTTATGGTTTTGTTTGTCGACTGCTTTGATGCGCTCCACAATCAATATGTATAGAGAAAGAATGTATATAGCTCTCCAAGTCACACCATTGCATAGATACAAATTGGTGCGTTTATTTACGAGCAGACAACGTATGCTTTTAGCACTATATATCCCTTTTGGGGAAAAGAAGAAAGAAAAAAAAATTAATAGTTAAGTGGAGATTAATTAAAATAGATAAATTAGAAAAGAAAATTAGACACATCGAATTATATATCACATCGAATGCTTTAAAATGTTTTAAGTTAAACAAGCAAGCAAACGTATTATTTGCATTTTTGTTTTAGGAGGGTGAGTTTCTCATATGTTACATGAATTTTAGTACCAAATTATATAATTTATTGTAATTTAGTACATTCCCAATTAAATTTAATATCAACTCAAGTTGCTTTATTTATATCAATGTAAGATTGAGATTATTCTTAAAATCAGTAAGTTTTTTATGTATAAAAATCACTTATATCAGTTGCGTGCACGTGCATAGGGTTGGAGGTAGGGTCTAGCAAGGATTATGGTCTTCTAACTTTTTAATTTTTTCTTAATTAAATGTAGGATTATATATTTTTGACCTTTTAAGTTGACATATTATAAAAAATCTTGAAATATTAAATGAAATTTTCATTTCAATTTTACAGTAGTCTTTTACACATATATTGTCCAATTATTGTAGTAGTTTGAAAATACAATTGTCATAAAATTTATTTATTTTTAACAAGATAATATTACGGTTGCTCTTAAAGTATTGATATTATTTTATTTTATTTTTATTTTATATTTGATAAAAGAAAGTATAAGAATCATTACTAACAAACTTCATAAAGCATTGCAACAAAAATCTCAAAATATATTAAATGAAGAACATATCAATTGAAAGAATTAAATAATAAATTCAATAAATAAGTAATAGAGTTTTTATATTAAATAAAACTTAAAATTTTAATAATGCATTTAAATTATTTAATACTTATGGGGAAGATAAAATATTCATCAATTTAATTATAGTTTATATTGAGAAGGAAATTTTAAAAATTTTATCATAAACATGATAATTAATTATTCTTATGCCATGAAAAATTAATGAACAAAACTTTAAAAATGAATATATATATATATATATATATTATATGTAAAATTGAGTATAAATATATAGGTTAAAATATTTATGTTATGTTAGTGATATATATAGATTTAATTTTCTTTTGATTATTATATATACTTTGTTATTTTGGCCCCTCGAAACAAAATTTTTTAATTCTGTCCTTGCATGTATGTGATAATATACTCATTCCATTTAAAAATATGAAGTATTTTTAATCGAATATTACCCTCTTAATAAGGTGTTTTATTTAATAAGTTATTTTATTCTAAAGTAAATATAACGTGGTTTATTTATTAGAAGCACTTTTGAAAAAAAAAAAGTAATGATCATGTATTGAAATACTAAAAATATTGTTTTAACATCTAACCCCTTAAAAAATACCTTATATTTTTTTTATCAGAGTACATATAAATCAAGAAATGTTTGATATTAACGTCAGTTAATAATGAAACGGTTTAGGTTGAAGGAAAACCATCTAATGCTTTTAAATTATAAAAGCCATTCATCCTCCTGTGAATTTTATATTACACAGTGATATGAATCCACATAATCAACTATTTGATTAATCGATATTAATATTAATTCACATCAAAAAGCTGAAATCTAGCCATGAGAATCTTTAAGTTGCTAGTCGCTAAAACTCTAGCTGATGTGAGTGATGCGATCGAGAAGTAGGGTTCGATTCACAAACTTTATGTAGCAGTGGAGGTTGGCCATGACCCTCTCCCATGAGTTTTCAAATTCTTTTTTATATGTTTTCACTCTTAAGAAATTTATGCAAACTTTATTACATGTCTTTCAATTTTAGCCCCCTTGTGATGACTACGAATATATATATATATATATTACTGTTTTCAAATTCTTATAGAGAGAGAGAGAGAGAAAACTTAATTAAGAATGGTTTATTGAGATTAATTTTTATTGTTGAAGACACTCTTGGTAGAACGGGAAAAGGTTTTTCATTATTAAGATTATTAAGTTAAGTGTATATCTAAACCAATGTGAAAAGTTTTACTTTCGATGAAATTGAACTAATATATATATATAATAAAACAAAAAAATCTATAAACTTGAATTTTAAATTTTTAAATTAAAATATGATATCTTTTCACTGTTTTTGTCCAAATTGTTCACAGCAAAAAGAATATTTTTCACATTAAAGCAACAATTTTGTGCCTAATTCATACAAGTATGTAACTCTCCATTTAGCTATCAAACTATCATTGATATATTAATATAATAAATAAAAAATAAAATAAGTGTTTTTGGAACATTTTGCTCTTTATTTATCGTATTAGCTTATGTGGAAGAGTGAGCATGGGGAGGAAAAAACTTTTCTAAATTTCAATATCCATGTCATTGTACAAATAAGTAATATTGGAGTGCCATCGCAGGGCAAAAGAAAAAAAGAAAATTTTACAATTGCTAGGGAATTATTTACCTTCATCCTTAATCTTTTGTGTGTCTAACACACACACACACACACACACAACACTTTTGAGCCAAAATGTCACTCTTAAATCTTAATTAAGGAACTAAATCGGTTAATAGTTTTAATTTGGAGCATTTGCCTTCAAAAAACAAGTAATTGCTTTTAAAAAAATGAAAAGAACAAGTAATAGGTAATATGATAGGGGATGCGGAAGCAACATCGTGCTAGTTTAAGGACAAAACCCTGAAACACAATAAAAACACAAGAACAAAAAGAAAGGGATGAAATTTATGACAAACATAAAGAAAGAAAGAGAAATAAAAAATGGGATAATGATTAAGAATAAGATTCTCTAGAGCACCTACCTCTAGAAACCTCAACCTTCGAAGACATCACAAGAGTTGATCATGCTCTTAATCACGTTTATTTCTCACACGGGATGCCACCACAAAGCACTGAGGCTCACAAGAGTTATAAACTCTAAAATGAATAATTTCATTCAACTTCTCTTTCGTTTACAAGAGAGAGCATATCTAATTTATATAGGCTCATAGAGCAGATTATTTCTTAAAATTAAAACTCTAATTTCCTAATACTAAAAGGAGAAATAATATAAAATAATGAGAAAATATTCAGCCACATAATTTAGGAGATGTGATCCTAAAATTATGAGATTACAAAACTTAAAAATTAATAATATAATTAATCTTAATCTTTGACTAGACTTAAAATAGAAAATTAAGACTAATCTTGCTCCTTAAGAAAGGAAGTCAAATCCAAGGACCATTAAAATAGGAAACAATTTAGGAGACAATCAAGGGATCATAAAGGATTTAAAATCATGCTATCCTTGACTTCTTCACTAGGGTTTCATGCCTCCTTGCTTGCAAGAGGCTCAACTTGTAATTTTCTTTACATTAGGCTAAGTTTTGCATCTCTTGGGTTTGACTCTTCATAGATTGGATCTTAAGCATATTATACACATATAGATGCTCTCCTTTAGGCTTAAGACGAGTGCCCCAATGCCCTCCAAGCTCTTGAACTTCTTGCACAAGACTAAATAAGCTTGCTTTATAACTTTAGTTCGAGCTCTTGTCATTGGATCTCTAATATATTATAAAAGGTCTTTAGGCATATTGGATTGAAAGTATTGGGCTCCTCGCTCCTCGCTTTGAGCTCCTTTTATGTC